CCTTTTCTGATGAAGGGTCTAGGCCCAAAACGTCAGCCTCTCTGCTCCTATGATGCTGCTTGGCCTGCTGTGTTCATCCAGCCCTGCACCTTGTTGTCTCGGATTCTCCAGCATCTGCAGTTCCTACTATCCCCAGCTCCTCTATTCATCCTGCCAAAGTGCAAGATCTCACATTTTCCTACAATATATATTCCAAATGCCAAGCGTTTGCCAATCTCTTAACCTGCCGACCTCTCTCTGCAGACTTTTTTGGTCATCCTCGCCAATTGCCTTCCCACCTGGTTTTGTGTCACCTGCAGACTTGGTGACAGTACATTCAATTTATTTATCCAAGTCATTAATATATATTGTAAATAATTGTAGTCCCCATCTCTGCAGCACTTCACCAGTTACAGGTTGCCAACCTGAATATGCCTTCCTTCTGCCAACTGTCTTTCTTCTATGTTGGGGCCAACTTTCCATCCATGTTAAAATACTACCCCAACACAATAGACTCCTGTTTTATTAAGAAGCTCATTTGTGTGGCACCTTATCAAACACCTTCTGAAAATCCAACTATACGACATTCACTGAGTCATAAAGATGTATAGCACATAAACAGGTCCTTCTGTCCATCGCGTCCATGCCGACCAGATATCCTAAATTAATCCAGTCCAATTTGCCAGCATTTGGCCCATATCCCTCTAATCCCTTCCTATTCATATACCCATCCAGATGCTTTTTAAATGTTGTAATTGTACCAGCCTCCACAACTTCCTCTGGCAGCTCATTCCATACAGGCACCACCCTCTGTGTGAAAACGTTGCCCCTCAGGTCCCTTTTAAATCTTTCCCTTTTCACCTCAAACCTATGCCCTCTAGTTTTGGACTCCACTACCCTGGCGAAAAGACAGTGACTATTCACCCAATCCATGCCCCTCATGATTTTATAAACCTCTATAAGGTCACCCCTCAGCCTCTGACACTCCAGGGAAAATAGCCCCATCCTATTCTGCCTCTCCATATAGCTCAAACCCTCCAACCATTGCAACATCCTTGCAAATCTTTTCTGAACCCTTTCAAGTTTAACAACATCTTTCCTATAGCAGGGTGACCAGAATTGCACGCAGTATTCCAAAAGTGGCCTAAATCCTGTCCACAACATAACCTCCCAACTCCTATACTCAATGCACTCACGAATAAAGGCAAGCGTACTAAACGCCTTCTTCACTATCCTGTCTACCTGTGACTCCAATTTCAATGAACAATGAACATGCACCCCTAGGTCTCTTTGTTTGGCAATACCCGCCCCAGGACATATCCACATCAGGACATAAGAACAGAAGAAACAGGAGCAAGAGCTGAAGTAGGCCATCTGCCCCTTGAGCCTGCTGCGCTATTCAAAAAGATCATGGCTGAACTCAGCTCCACTTTCCCACCTGCTCACCATAACCCTTAATTCCTTTACTCTTCAAAAATCTACCTTTGCCTTAAAAACATTCAATGAGATAGCCTCAACTGCTTCACTGGGCAGGGAATTCCACAGATTCACAACCTTTTGGGTGAAGAAGTTCCTCCTGAACTCAGTTGTAAATCTGCTCCCCCTTATTTTGAGGCTATGTCCCCTAATTCTAGCTTCTCCCACCAGTGGAAACAATCTCCCTGCTTCTTTCTTATCTATTCCCTTCATAATTTTATTTGTTTCCATATGATCCTCTCTCATTCTTCTAAATTCCAATAAATATAGTCCCAGTCTACTCAATCTCTCTTCATAAGCCAAAGCTCAGGACCTTACCATTAAGTGTATAAGTCCTGCCCTGATTTGCCTTTCCAAAATGTAGCACCTCACATTTGTCTAAATTAAACTCCATCTGCCACTCCTCGGCCCATTGGCCCATCTGATCAAGATCCCATTGTACTCTGAGGTAACCTTGTTTGCTGTTCACTACACCTCCAATTTCACTGTCATCTGCAAACTTACTAACCATACATCCTATATTCACATCCAAATCATTTATATAAATGACAAAAATCAGTGGAGCCAGCACCGATCCTTGTGGCACTC